ATCAGTTCAGGACCTTTGTGCACTGAATGAGACATGGTCTGAAGCATTGGAAGCTCGAAGACTGTTGATCTCTCCCAACTCGCTTAAGATTATAGAAAATATAGAACTTTTGCACGAATGCAAACACGATCGGGATGAACATCTTCATCAAGTTCTTTTAGAAGCTCAAAATGAAAACAACATTGACCCTATTTTGATGCCTAACTACTATGAAGGTGATGAAAATGCAGACAAAGATGATCCGGAACAACTTTTGCAAATGCTTTTCATCGTAAATGAGACCACCACAAACGCTTACTCTGCATTGACAGTTACTCAAGAACAACGCTATGTTCATGATGCATTAGAACCAATTGATAATACAGACAGATTTGCACTACTCAATGGTGAGTTAATTACTGCCATATTTCGAAAATATTTAGTTTGATTTAGGCCGTACACGTTGTCCGAGCGAAAATAATTATGGCACCATACACGACATCAACACATTTGTGGTAGCTCACGCACATCACAGCGTCATGATTAAAGGATGGAAACGTGACATTGAAGGTCGACGAGATGAAGCAAGAAACTATTTAATTTCAGGTGAAAATACTCTGGAAGTGCGAGATGATGAAACACAGATTGAAGTCGTAGCAACTGAAATTCCAACAAGTCCCATTAAAACGAGAGCTACAAGAGTTCCACCTGTGACTACAACCAATGCAATATTATTTCCAACAAAACAAGATATTATCAGACAATTTACACTAAGCACTCAGCAAAAATATGCTTTTATGATTATAACTAGTCACTTAGATGGCGAAAATCATGCTCATACCGGTATATTTTCTTGATTTTGTTATTGAAAATTTTGAATAGTCTTGATATTTAGATACTATCGATAATCAGTTATTAATGTGCATACCTGGTTGCGGTGGTACTGGAAAATCTCAGTTAATTCGTGCAATTACCAAGTATTTTCAAGTAACTAAGAGGGGCAAGATGTTGTGTAAACTGGCGCCCACGTCTATAGCAGCAGCTGAGATTGACGGATTAACTATCCATTCATTTTTAGGTGAAAGTCGCAAAAACAGTAAAAAGAAACAAACCCGTACATTTAGACCTGGCGATACGAAATTGGAAAATGAATGGCGTCATGTGAAGTACTTGATAATCGATGAGATGAGTATGGTAGGACTTAGCCTATTAGCTCGTCTCAATCGAATAGTGAAAACAGCCAAGCACGTAAATTCTGAGATACCTTTTGGTGGTGTCAATGTCATTTTCTTTGGCGACTATCT